GAGACTCTGTCTCAAAAAGAAAAAATAATAATAATAAAATACAAAAACTAGCCAGAAATCTCTTGAACCTGGGAGGTGGAGGTTGCAGTGAGCTGAGATTGTGCCACTGCCCTCTAGCCTGGGCAACAGAGTGAGACTCCACCCCCTGCCCCCACCAAATTAAAGTTTCTGACTCTTTATAGGAGGTCACATTTGGTGGTGATGCTGGGTGAAAGAGGGTTGGGTGGAAGGAGTCAAAGTGGAAGTGGGATAGCACCAAGCTGGGAAACGGGCACGTTTCAGTTCTGCCTCTAACTGATGCTCCTGACTTAGAATCCATCAATCAAGAGGAGTTTGCTGAAGGATAGGATGTATGGCTGCCTTGCCCCCTCCTGAACCAGGCCCGGGGTGAAGTGTGTTGTGCGCATTCGGCAGCTCCAGTCCCGCTGTGGGTCGTACTGACATGCTGGGCCCAGCCCACGCCCCAGAAGCTTGCAGCGCCGTTGGTCTGGGGAACGGTGTTTTAGGAAGCTCCCAAAGTGACAGGATGGTGTCATCGGGCATAAGGGCCACGGCACTCCCACTGAGTTGTGACAAGTTCTACAAAATCATCCCTGGTTTTTAATAAGGAAACTGAGACTCACTTGAGAAGTTGAGAAACTTGTCACTGACCCCCCAGGCCAAGGGATAGGCAGCATTTTACTCTTGCCTTCTCTGATTTGTGCAATTAGTCAAGGAAAAAGTGCAGCAAAGAGAGAAAGTCCTGAACTTTAAAACCCAGGAGAAAGCTTATCCTATAATGCTGGGCAGTTCACGCTGATGGAAGCAGTGGCCAGAGGAAGGCACTTGCCTGAGCTTCCTGCAGTTGTATGAGAACAGCCCGTTTCTCTGGTGGGGAAGGGGTGACACAGTCAATGGAGGGGGTGGTCTCTGAATCTGGAGCTTGGGATGGGGGCAGAGAGCAGCTATACAGCCATTCTCCATGGGCCGCCCATTTCCATGGGGACTTGGGGACACAGAAAGGTCCAAGAGGCCAGAGGGGCCCTGGGCTCCAGTTCTACCCGCTTCACGTTGACATCGTGTCCAACAAGACACCAAGAGAAGCAGGGAGTGGCTGACCTTCATTTTCCATATCGACACGGGGGGCCCTCTGCGTGCACGAACATCTTTGTCTCCTGAAAAATGGCCTTTGTCAGTTATTTTTAAAAACTGGTGTTAATCCTGAGATGTGGAGATACTCCCGGGAAGCCAACCGAGCCTGGACACACGGAGATGAAACCACAAACACATCCAGAGGAAAAGACATTGATTCCAACCCTCAAAGCAACGGGACAAAAAACAAACAGGAGGCTTCCCTCCCGCCCCAGGGACAGCGGCCAATGTCTGCGGCTCTCCCTGGGACCAGATTGCAGCTTCCGATTGTATTATAGAATTTCTGGCCCAACTTTTAAGGTTCAAGGCTTCCTCCCTTTGCTTTTATGTTATTTTCTCGTTTAATAAAGATACGCATGTGTGAGAAGCATCGCCTGTTCCCAGCCGCCGCCTCCTCCTCCCCGGCTTCCTCCCCGTCCCCAGCACGTCCTCCCATTGACCTTCCAGAGAACCAAGCTCAATTCAGAGCAGGCCATGTGCCCAGCTAAATCCCCTCAGCCTTGCCCCATCGGGACAGAATTCACATTCTTGTCCCCCTGCCCCTGCCCTCTCCTGGAAGCCCACTCGGTGCTGACCAGGATATCGGCCCCCTCCCACCCCAGGGCCCTCGTGGCTGTTCTGATGGGCCTGAGGGCACCCTTCCCCGCTGGCCCTACACCACCTGCTCGATACCTGCTCCTCCTGTTCCCTCAGCCTGAACTGAGCCCCCAGATGGCACCTGGCACATAGCGGTGCCCAGCAGTAATGGGGCTGTCATTTTTTGATACTTGTCTGTCCTGCTGAAAGGTGGGCTGTCCGTACACTGCTGCGTCCCCACCTCTGTGCCCACCAACCCCTCCACACACATTGGAAAGAAAGTCTGAGGGTAGAAGCCAGGCATTCGGCCAGCCCCGGGAGCACAGTTCTGCAGTGAAGATGACAGCAGTACTTGGGGTCCTCCACCCACCAGCCCCGGGAGCACAGTTCTGCAGTGATGGCAATGCCAGCGGCTCAGGGTCTTCTACCCGCTGGCCCCCAGGAGGCGGGCACAGGTGTCTCCCTGCTTCACAGAACAGGAAACTGAGACTTCGAAAGCTGAGCTGAGTCACTCGCCTGGTGCCACATTAATCAGCAAGTGGTAGATGTGAGATTTGAACCCAGGACCCTTCAATTCTAGGCCTGAACTGCTTTTAGTTTTTGGATGTAAAGTTCACACATAGCATAACATTAACCGTTAGTAATTTAAACACGTACAGATCCGTGGTGGTCACTCCCAGTGTTGGGCAAACCATCCCTATCATCTAGTTCCAAGACATTTCATCACCCCAAAGAGAGACCCCATCCACTCAGCCCTCACTCTCCATCACCCCTGCCCCCAGCCCTAAGCAGCCACGAATCTCGTCCGTCTCTCTGGATCCACCTGTCCTGGACATTTGTGCACTCGGAATCATACAACGCATGGTCACTGACCCTTTCACGCAGCCCAGTGTTTTCAGGGGTCCTGCACGTTGCAGTGCTTCTTCCTGTGTGCGGCTGAATGACGCTCCAAGGGATGGCGGACTACACTGGGTTTATCCATCATCCACGGATGGACAGGCCTGAACTCTGACCCCGACTTCTACTGTTGCTTCCATGTCACCTTTTTTTTTTTTTTTTTCCAAGATGGGTCTCACTCTGTTGCCTAGGCTGGAGTGCAGTGGCGTGATCTCAGCTCACTGCAGCCTCAACCTTCCCAAGCTCAGGTGATCCTCCTACCTC